CATTCCTGCATCTGCCATGAAGAGATATCTGTCTTATTTTGACTATGCTGATTGCTCTGAAGACACAGCTTTGCTTTGTCAGCCTAGAATTAGACTGACACCAAAAATCCTGCTGTATGGGCATGAAAGAGGTTATGAGAAATGCTCTCTTTTGAGATAAAATTTGCAGAGACAGTTGAGTGTCTAATAATTGGTGTGGACTCAATGAGAAAGAAAGAAGCAAGGTTATAAAATGCAATTATTTTGGAGTGCCTACTTTAACCTAAAATTACTTTTCCCTTCCTTCCCTCCCTCCCTGCCTCCTACCTTCTTCCTTCCTTCCTTCCTTTCTTCCTTCCTCCCTTCCTTCCTTCCTTCTTTGGTACTGGGATTTTAAACTCAGGACTTCATATTTGCCAGGCAGGTGCTCTGCATGGAGCCATGCCTCTAGCTCATTTGAACTGGTTATCAATGAGACAGAATCTTGTTTCTTGCCTGGGTAGACATATGAACTGTGCAATCTCTATTTCTCACTTCCGACATAGCACAATAGCTTGGGTGACAGGAGTCACATTCGACTGTGTAATTGTGTATTTTTCTGCCAAAGCTGGCTTGGAACTGTGATCCTCCTGATCTCAACATCCCATGTAGGTGGATTTCAGACATGAGCCACTAGTGGGAGCCTGGCTCCATTTTTTTTTCCTTTAAGGTAGGAAGTAATGATGCTGCCTTTTTCTTTAGAGATTGAGAGAGGGCAATTGATAAGAGCCATTGATTTTAGTGTGGAAAAACATTTTAAAACATTTTATTATCATTCTTCCTGTCATATGGGCATGGACTTTTATGGCAGTGTATATAGTTTTGGCATGAGGGTGGCAAATAATCATAATTTTATCTGCTGAGCTGACAATTCCTGGGTTCATAGAGTTGCTCATGATTTCACCCTAGAGTCATTTCCCTTTCTGTTATTCATTGTTTTCTCTCTGTGTATAGCTTCTATTTCTTGCTCTCATAAGACAGAAGACCCCACAATAGAAAGACATTAATGGGATTTGAAAATAGCATTTTTATTTACATATTGTATGATTGGATAGAGAAGGTAAGCTCATTAGAAAAAAATCACTGCAAGGCCGGGCGCCGGTGGTTCATGTCTGTAATCCTAGTTACTTGGGAGGCTGAGATCTGAGAATCACAGTTTGAAGCCAGCCTGGGCAGAAAAGTCCCCAGGAGCCTCTTATCTCCAATTAACCACTCAAAAACCAGAAGTGGTGCTGTGGCTCAAATGGAAGAGCACTAGCCTTGAGCATAAAGAAGCTTAGGGACAGTGCCCACACCCTGAGTTCAAGATCCACAACTGACAAAAATAAAAAAAATCATGGCATACTTTTCTGTATGTTTTTCAAATCACCCACTGAGTTGAACACTCCCAGGATTTCCTCCCATTGACTGGATTTTCAGGCCTTTAAAGAACTGTTTTGTGTTATTTGGAAAACCCGGAATGGTTCACACTGAGCCCAACATTTATTTTGAATCTTCAGGCATCATTTGTAGAGAAAGAAGTGGATAAATAGGCAATAAGTTAGATTTATGTCCATTCCTATTTTGCTGTCAACACGTATGATTTCATGATGCTTTCTTGGTAGTGTCACACAAGATTATGAATATTGGCCACCGAGTCACAGAACTAATGTTTTGTTTTTTTTTTGTTTTGTTTTTGTGTTTTTTCTCCTACAGTCCTTGGTGATTTTCTGGTCTCCCAGCAGGAGGTAAGGCAGTCTGCAAGGTCACTGTGCAGCGCCTCTGGAGATTATCAAATGACCTGTGTTTGGTTATGTTCAGCTGGTACTTGAGGTGCCATGTCAGAGGCAGACACTGGGGCTATAGAAAATGGAGTGGCTGCCGCCATGACACCAAGCCAGGAAACTCCCCTTGATGGCAGGAAGGACAGACCCAAAGGGAGGTCTGGGGTACTTGCAAAGTCTACTGATGATGAATGTACTGTTGAGGATTTTTATTAGATAACTGAAGATGTTATCTAATAACAGGGCTTAGAGAAGTGTTTATGATATTTATATCCTTTCATGACAGTTTTAAATACCCCCCCCCACTTTGTATGATCATAACTGGAGGTTTTTTTTGAAAATGACACTTTTGCCAGGTACCAGTAGCTCCTACCTGTAATCCTAGCTATTCAGGAGGCTGATATATGAGCATCAGGTCCAGAGCTCTTCTGAATGGAAAAGACCATGAGATTCTTTCTCCACTTAACTAGCAAAAAGGCAGAAGTGATTTATGGCTCAATTTGTAGAGCCCCATCCTTAAGTGAATAAAGTTCAAGCCTCAGTAGTGGCACCAAAACAAACAAAACAAAAACCAAGGTCAAAACAAAAACAAGATCATTTCTACAAGTATTTAACAAATTAAATACCATGGCCAGATTAACTTCTTTCAAGAACAAGTACTTTGTATTATTTTCCCCTTCTAATTATTTCCTACTAGGTTGATTCGGAATGATAAACATTAAATATCATAAAACCCTCAGGGATGAACTTCTTTCTATCAAAGGAAGTAAAAATCACAGGGTGATGGATAAAGATGAAAGCAAACAATAGATTTTCCACAGCTGATCATAAAACAACAAATCTCATGATTGTTTAAAATGTATTGAAAGAAATTCTAGATGTTTATGAATTTCACTCAGTTACTTAGGGTCCTTAATTACTCTGATTTATTTGAATATGACATATCGTAATGTTTTCTCATCAGTGGATGCAATGGGTAAAGCAAGAGCAAACCTTTTCAGACCAGACCAAACCAGTAGGCCAGGTAACCTCAAGAGGGCCAGACAAGCAGAACATTTTTCTTTAATTGCCTCTGCATTATTTGAATTGTCACATCACCATGCACTGATTTTATAATGCAAACAAAGCATTATATTTTAATTATTTTAAATTTTCCCAACCAAGAAAAAGTTTTAAAAAAAATAAAGTGCCATCCATCATGTACTATCTTCTACCTGGCTAAAGGCAAGTAATTATACAATATGAAAACTGTGAAGCAAAGCTCTAGGGAAATATGTAGACACTCAAAGATTTGGAAAAAAAAAAAAAGAACAGTAATAAAATCTAGGTAAATACTACTTCTCGGCCGCCAGATTTTGTGTTACATACTTGTTCTGCCTTTTCCCAAATTTCCTCCTTTCGATCTCACACTATTATCTCTTTTTATTGTCTTATTGTACATCGGACATCTGTCTCGTAAACACATTATGATGTTACTCTTCACATTTGTGCCTGAGCTACCTGTCCCCTTAATAACCACAAAATTGTTCTGCCTGTATTTGTAGACATGCCCCCGTCAGACAAACAGGTATCAGAGCTAAAAACTACAGAATTGTTCAGATGCCCGAGATAAGAAGAGCTGTTAAGGACCGTTAACAAGTTTTCATGTTTACTCTCCCTTGATTTATCACCAATTCATGATGGCTTGTTATAGTAGATAAACTTCACTTAATCAAGAACCAGTCAAGTACCACTCATTAAACACATCACCCTTTCTTTCCCAGGAAAGCAGGGACCTGTCTCATGAAGAGCACTACAAACACATATTTGAAATACACAGAGGAAAGAAGTAAATAGTGGCCATTAATTTGACGGCTGGTGCCATAAGTAAGTCTCTTTTATGGCTGCTATTTTCTTTAAAAGCGTCTTTTGCCTGTTGAAGCTCTCTACATAGAGCCAGGACATAGGTTGCCTTTCTCACTATTTAATGCAACTTTAGTCAGTAGCTCTATCATATTTTAAAAAAAAAAACAACCAGAAGAAAATACAAAATTAAGTGCTGGGTAGATTTTTGAAACTATGACATGAGATTGTTCAGAAGACTATATTTTTTATAACACTCTGCCCATTTGTTAATTAAAAATGTTTTGGGGGTTGGTTTGGTAAATGATAGAGGAATGTCAAAATGTAAGGTTATTATTCTAATGTAAGCACATCATAATCATTTCTCCTTTAACAAGTGAGCCGATCATAGAAAGAACATGGAATGCTTAGGACTAGGGAAACAAAGAATAATATCTATCTTCTAGGAATTTTTCTTGCACCAAATCACAAACACCAGACCTTATTGGGGAAATGCAAGGGAGTTTCCTAGGTTTGGGCCAATTGAGTGCCTACACATTCTAAATAGCTCATGCATTTTGACTGACCTCTGTCAGAGCACTAACTGAAGTTACTATGATAGAACTTTTTGAGTTCACTTATTTCTACCTCTCTCTGACATTGTAATGGTTCCATTTTTAATAACTCTGCTGCACAGTGCCAATGGAAATAGCTCATGCAAGCTTTTCCATCCTTATCATCCTAAGAAAATATCAGAAACCAAATAGGAAGGTGGAACTATGCAGTTCCCTGGAATTCTGGAGCCAAGTCACTGGAGTTGAGAAGAATACTCTACTCTTCTTCCTGACAAGCCTATCTCTGGTTTCACTCCTTCTGCCAGGATCTACACACTGAATTTCCATGCTCACATTTGACTTGTCTCCTCCTGTCTTTATCAGGTCTCCTTACTGAGTGCTAGAATGAAAATATTTGATCATATTTTACTAGAGGGCGCCAAGTTCACCTAGCCACCTTTTTCATCTTTACTGGGAGCAGTTACACGCTTGGCTACAAGTTGGAAGGCCATGGAACTCATGCATTATTTTCACATTCAAAACTAGTTACAGCCTTTAATAAAAGGAAGATTTAACTGAGCTTTTCATTCCCTCCCTCCCTTCCTCCCTCCCTCCCTCCCTCTCTCCCTTCCTTCCTTCCTTCCTTCCTTCCTTCCTTCCTTCTTTTTTTTTTTTTTTTTGAAGCATCCCCCTTAAGATCCAGGTTTCATCAGTAAGGGAAAACTTGCCTGGACAAGTTGCCCTGTAGTTGAATTTTGTAAAAAAAAAAAAAAAGTGTTTTCTAACCAGAGAGGAAAGTAGCAGGAGTATGGAAAGTATTATAGAAGTATGCAGAAGTACTCACAGTTTTGGTTTGGCAAGCAGGGGCGGTGGCTCCTTGGTGGGTGAAAGCAGGACCGCTGGTGTCGGAAGAGATTTATTAGCGTTGGCCTTGCCATTCATCAGTCCATTCATTCCATGGCTGGGGTGGACTCTGTTGGTTTCCCTCTCGGCAGAACTGAATTGCATCTGAAGGGCTGCCATGCTGAGTCCTAAGTCAGGGCTGTTCACCTGCTGGATCTCACATGGTTTCTTGGATGCCAACTCAAAGTTGTTCGTCTCCAAGATTGGAGGGGGCGGTGGAAAGTGCTGGAAGTGGTCATTGTTGGCATATCCCAATGAGTCGTAGCTACAATTTTCAGTGTTGGCTAGGAAAAGGGAAGAAAAGGGAGATGCTACCACTTCACCAAGTCATCTTCTCGCCATCATAGGTCTCCTGTTCTTAGAGGGGGATGCTGCCCTCACTAGGTATAGCGTTGCCAGCTGGTAGGCCTGGCTTTTCCAAGATTACTTCAAGTGTCTCCCACCTGTCTCATTTCCCAGCTGAATTCATACACAGAGAAACTACTCATCAATTCATTAACTCCAAATAAAACCTAAAGGTAGAACTCGGTTTAATAATAATAAAAAAGGACTACACAAAGAGTATCAACCAAAATGCTTTCGCTTCTCACTTTTCAGTCCACGAAGCTTACTGGAAACCGATCCATGTTTGTGCGCAGTAGCTCAAGCTATAAAACATTTATGTGGATATTCATTTTATTTTAAAGTGAAGGAAAGGAAAGTTCTAGTATCAGTGAAATGAATGCCTTTTCCTCTCACATGAAACAGTTTCTACACCAGATATTTGTCACAGCTGTAACTAAATAGAAAAGAGGTGTTTTGTTTGCTTGTTGTGGGGTTTTATTTTTTTTCCAAGTTCCTGTGACTCACACCTGTAATCCTAGCTACTTAGGAGGCTGAGATCTGAGGATCCCAGGTTGCAGCCAGACTAGACAGAAAAATCTAGGACATGATTATCTCTCATTAATCTGCAAAAAACCCTGGAAATGGAGTGTGGCTCAAGTGGTAGAGCACCAGCCTTGAGCAGAAAAGCTAAGGAACAGTGTTAAAGCCCTGAATACAAGCCTCAGTGACAGTGGAAGGAAGAAAGGAGACTTTATTTTGTTATCCACAATATTCTCTCTCTCTGTGTATGTATGTATAAATAAAAATATATGCATATATATATATATATTCCCCTCACCTTTCCCAGATCTCAGCAGACCTTCTTTTATTATTGTTCTTTGAGATCCCCACTACTGGCATAGCCACTTGATGGAATAGTCTTCTAGCCAACTGCAAATGAACATGTCCAATACACCCTCCTCTATGACTCCAATGATGACCCTAGCATTTCCACGGAATGCCTACGGGAGTCCTTCATGTTAACCATTTCCTTTTCATTGCCTTTCTCAATGGAGATGGAAAAGCATATACAATCTCCACTCTCCTTCAGCCCTGGAGCCACTTTTGGTCATGCCTCTGCTGCCACCTAGCCCTGAGTTCTTGCTCTTCCAGGAACCAAATGGCAATGGAGTTCTCCAACTCAGTCTCAGGCAGCAGACTTCCACTTACTGGTTCCCTGCCGTGTGTATTACTATGGGCCAGGCTTCATCAAGAGATTTAAAACAGAACAAAAAACCCAAAAAAACCCAACTCTGTAAGCTGACTAACTGAGATGGGCCAATCACCATAACTGAAGAAAGCTCATTAATAATAGTAGAAAATAGCCAAGTAAAAGAAATAATAAAAGCAATGTGGTGTTTTAGGATGCCTTCCCTGGTGGTATGTTTTTTTGAGTTTAGAAAATGTCCATCTATTTTTGAGTATTGGTTGCAATACCCTAACATATTGCTTTATTTAGAAGTTATAAATTATCATTGAACTTTGACTTTTAAGATCTTTATTGCTTTTCTGAATTACACTTCCTCCCTCCCTTCCTTCCTTCCTTTCCTTCCTTCCTTCCCTCCTTCCCTCCCTCCCTCCCTTCCTTCCTTCCTTCCTTCTTTTGTAATTCAGAACCTCATGTACCAGACAGGCACTCTATCACTTGTTACATCTCTTGTCCTACACTAGGATTTTTTATTGAATTTTTTTCCAGAAGTTTAGTGGCCCAGACTACAATCTAATTTTACCAGTGTCTCAGGACCTCATACACCGGCATTTCTGAGAAGCATGACTGCACTCTGACTTACTAGATGACTTCTAGGTGGAGAGGATTCCAGGTTACCACAAAGACTTAGAAAACCAGTTCCATTGTTTCCCCAAATGAGACTGCATTATTAAAAAAAATAACCCCCCCCCAAAACAAAACAGCCCCAAAGATGAGTGCCTTGTTATCCACAGTTCTACCCCCTTTCATAGCCTTCCCCCAAAGCCTTTGTTTCAGATAAAACAGTTTATTGTTGGGGGTAACTCCTGGAGGTACCACCAGCATTCCTAAAGGCTGAGTGCTCCTGGGACAGTTGCTTTTGACATGTAGAAAGAGCACTGGGGCACAGAACCACATACCCGAAGTGACAACTAGTTGGGCAGTGCTGGTCACTGATCCATACTCATTTGTTGCTGAGCAGGTAAAGATGCCAGCGTCTTCGGGGAAAGTCTCAGCGATGACAAGGGTGCAAATCTCCTCTGGAAGGGAAGAGAACAGGGTCACCACTGAGTCTTTCTTTTCCAACCACTTTTTTTTTTCCCCCAAATCTTCTTAAGAGCAAACATTTCAGCCTTCTAGAATAAAGCTATCTTCCTTCAATTTCACTATCAATGACGTACATGAAGAAATTCGTCTCAAAATATTGTCTAGATATCAGCTGACATGTAAGTGTTTAGGGCTCTCTTTTAAATTCAAATTGAAGACCCTTGTTTTTTTCTGTGTGTGTGCTTGTACTGGGGCTTTAATTTAGGGCCTCTACACTGTCCCTTGGTTTTCTTCCTCACGCGTGGTACTCTACCACGTGAACCACAGCTCCAGTTCTAGTCTTTTGTGGATTAGCTAGAAGATAAAAGTTTCTTGGATTTTTCAGACCAAGCTAGCTTCGAACTTTGATCCTCATATCTCAGGATAGCTAGGATTATAGGTTTAAGCCACCTGTGAAACTTATTAACATCATTATTTAAAATGTAGAGAACTGTACACCTGCTTTATCTTCTGTTACTTCATGTGTTTGTACAAAGTTTGTATCATGCATTTGTATTATCTGTTCAAAATACAAATTTATGAATTTATCATAATACAAAGGTATCATAATATAATAGGTATAATAATACAATAGGTATTCAAAGGAAAAGAAAACTAATTCATGAAACTATGTTTGGTTTTATCTTTACAGACTCAAAGGAAAAGCTATCATGAAAAATGGCAGAAAGAGGCAAAAGAAATCCAGTCTTTGTAATTAGGGATAATTCTAGTATAGCTAACATTTGGCCAATTAAAAATACTGCATAGTCAACTAGACTTTTAGTCCATCCAGGAGCCTGAAATAAGTATAAGTACTAGACTTCTTTCTCTTTTTTTCCTTAGGAATGTTTAAATGGTCTATAAATCTTAATTCTATATTCTGAATTCTCAATTTTAATTTTTCCATTTTAAATTTCAAGACATTTTTGAAAAATACAACTTTTGGGGGGTAGAACTTGTCTTGGACTTAGGTTACACACTGTGTTTTAGAGATTCAATATTGTGTTTCCATAAAGAAAACTCAAATCAAGGTTACATCCCATGAAACAGGAAGCTGCAGTCTGACGGACAGGAAAGCAACAAAAGCTCACCTAAGCTCACTTCAGTGTCTCCATCGATGCCAAAGACACCCCTGTCTCATGAGAGGTGCACTGTGGGAACTGGGAAGAACCCATGAACAAACCCTGTAAAACTGCGGCGTGTGATTGACACGTAGGTGATTTTGATATTTTAAAATCAGTGATTCTGTGTAGAGAGACTTAGGAAAAACTAAAGTGCCGAAGAATGAACTGGCATCCATGACACTCATTTTGTGTCTATTCTGCAGTTGGTCCTCATAAGCTCTAGCTATGATTTAATTTTGTATAAACTACAGCGAAGGTACTTGAAATCCTCAATGAGACTGGATAGCTTTTTTTTTTCCCGCATTTTTGAGAGGGACTGTTATGAGATTTTGTGTGGGTTTTCTTGAACATTTTGGACCTTGACTTTTATGGTGGTGTTCCCCAGACTTGTTTGATGATAAGAATCACCTGGAACATTTGTTAAATATGCTGATTTCCTAGTCTTCTGTTCTCCTCGAGAGAGGATGATTCAGTAGATCTGGGTTGGGGCCAAAGAGTTTTAACCAATATGTTTTCCAGATGATATTTTTTACCTTGTGCAAAATATAGAAAAGCTTGTCCTAAAAAGTGGATTTTTAAACCTTTTAAAATTAGAACACACAGAAGGAAATTCATTTCATATTCAACTCAGTCACATGTTGAGGTATTAGGGATGTGTGTGTGTGTGTGTGTGTGTGTGTGTGTGTGTGTGTGCGTGCTCACATGCACATGTGTATATGCTATGTTTTAGTCTATTTAAGAAAGGATAATTGCCACTCACTGTATGATTGGTCAAGCAGCTAACAACACTTCCTGTAACATCTGCTACAGTTCCAGGTTCAATAACTGTCCATTAATCATGACTATTTGACAAATGAAGAAAAGGCTTTCAAGATGCACATTGAAGAGGTACTTCTACATTTAAAGGACACAACTTTTTTTGATTAAAAGCTTCACTAAATAGAAGGAAAAACAATAGAATAACAGAGAACATGAGGTAATTCTGTGTTTTGACAGTACTGTACACAGTTATTGGCTTTCTAATTAAAGAGGAAGATAGAAAGTGTGGAAATAATTCAAGTTGGAGTTTCACCTAAGATTAATCGTTTGAGAAGTAAGATGTAACTGGAGGGGTGCAAGGGACTGGGAATGTTTTAATTGAATTCATATGGTTGTAGAGGGAGTTAAATGTAGACTTAACTGGAGAAGGGTAAATAAAACTTAGGATATAAGTGCTCTCAGGGATTTCAGAGTGACGGGCTCAAATCTCTTATTTCTTCAGGATTGGTCCAAAGGAATTCTCTCAAGGCCATGGCCAATTAGTGCTACAACCCAGATGCTAAAGGTAAGTCACTCGCCTCCCACAGGCATATGGTTTTTCCCCCCAGTTGTTTTGCATGTTTTCCTAGCTTAGACACAAGGAACTTGGAGGGAAGCAAGGGAATGGAAGATTTAAGCCCTCCTACTCAGTCTTACATGCTTCTGTAAACATTACATTTTCAGAGATTTTATTTTTAATTTTCTAAATTGGACTTGGTCAGATTTTACCACCTACATGTGGTTTTAGGATAGGAACTTTCCATGAAGGCATGTATCACAACTACAATGGTACCCATACAGTGGGTACCTTGGTACCCATAGGTACATGATTCCAGGGAGATTACATTGAAGAAAAATATCACACGCTCAGGACACATAGAGCTCAGTACTGTAGAGCAGATGCTTGATTCTTTCCCCCCAAATGTTACTCAGCTTCCACTAAAGACATGCTACCTTTCAATAAATTGAACACTATCCCTTGATGCCTTAAATTAAGTACTTTACCTTTTACTTTGTCTTTTGAGCAACATTTGCTTTCAGCGAGTAGATTTTGCACAGAAAACACACAGTGGGTCCCACAAACATTTTAACAATGTTAAGCACAATTAGGGACTGACCCAGAGTCTCTCTGAATCAAACTGAGCAGAGGGTTTAAACATGTTTGTAATTTGTTTTTAGTTATTTATTTTTATATTTTTTACTGTAAGTGGTCAAAACTGTGAGTGATAATCTGTAAAGAAGGTGAGCTTAAGTATATAACTAATCAGAAAATAATTCATAATACAGTTTGTTAATTTCTGGTTCCTTGACTGGAAATAATCTCTGACAGCCGAGACCATTTGTAGTGTTGATGGTTATCTATTCTCAGCATTTAGCACACCTCAGGTTCTCTGTAACTATTTTTAGTAAGTGTACAAATGAAATATGAATTGGAGGAAGGTAATAATGTTTGATTTACAGAAAGCCTATTGTCTACAGAATTTCAGACTGATTTTCCTACAAACATACTTTGTGTATTTCTAATTTGATTGAGCAAAAGTCATTTTATATGAATATTCAGGAATTGCATGTATAAAATAAGATACAGAAGACCTGATATAACTAGTAGATAACCAACTCCACATCTAGAGAAGACTTTTTAAAAACAGAGAAGGAAAAAGTATTGTATATTATTTTAGTGATTCAAACATTGCTAGACCATAGTGATTTTTATTGGTTAAAATTTTAGTTTAATGCCTCAAAAGTTATTTGGCTTTTCTTGTCTAGGGTCATTCGCCCTTCCCAGGAGCAGGTTTTGTTCAGAGAAAGGGTCATTATAGCTTGTATGGTCCTGACATTATAAAATGAAGAAAGCCACGAAGAAATGAGTGAGCCAGGATGTAATATTGAATTTTCATCTGGTAGCATCTTACTTGAACAAAGACCATTAAGACATCTGTAAAATAAATTCTGGTAAGGAGTGGAAATCAGGAAATGACTATTCATGTCAAATAAAGGGAGTTGGGGCTTACTGGTCTGTAGTAAAGAATTGTCTCCAGCATAAGTGGAAAACTTTAAAGTTATTAATAACTTTAATTATGATCCATTTTAATCCAATTTTCCTAAGTTTGATTTCCTGAGGTTTTTACTTGAGGGCATATAATAAATTACTAAGTCAGAAACTATTTTTATTGGTACTAAATTCTTTGCTTTTTTACAGTTGCCTAAAAGTTAGTTAGTTATAGTACTATCTCCCAGAAGGCAGGCTTGAATCTCATTCAAGTCCTTGGATGTACTTAACACTTGGCTAAATACAAACAAAACCTAATTTTATTATTATGTTGTTGTTGTTTTTTTGCAGAAACTCATAGGAAGAAAGTCAGGAGGAAGCAGGGATAGGATTACTGGGTCTCTTAGGTTTTTGAGGAGACATTGCTTCCTTCAAAGCAATTCATTTGCAGGCAAATGTAATGTTTGTATTGATATTTAATAAGGACTTAAAAAATGGTAAACTCCATCATATAGGAAGATGAGTGTTTAAAAGACTGGTGGCTCCGGTATCACATGGAGGCTGAACAACACACTGCTGAATCATGAGTGGGTCATGGAAGAGATTAGAAAGGAAATTAAAATGTTCATGCTATTCAACAAAAATGAACACACAAATTACCAGCTCCTCTGGGACACAGCAAAGGCAGTACTCAGAGGCAAGTTTATAGCTCTGAGCTCCTACATAAACACATTGGAGAGATCTGAAACTAACAATTTAATGACACATCTAAACCTCCTTGAAAAAGAGCAGCAAGATAAACCCCAATCCAGTAGACGGAAAGAAATAATCAAAATTAAATCAGAATTAAATGAATTAGAATCCAAAAAAACTATAGAAAGAATCAACAAAACAAAGAGTTGGTTCTTCGAAAAACTTAACAAAATTGACAGACCCTTAGCAAATCTTATCAGAAAAAGAAGAGAACACACCCAAATTAATAAACTCAGAGATGAGAATGGAAACATCACCACGGAAACAACCAAGATTCAGAACATTATAA